AAATGTTCTAATAATAATAATAATAATAATAATAATAATAATAATAAATGTGTCACGGTACATTAAATCATCGCAGAGCACCACTACTCTTTTCCGAACATGTGCATGATCCCTGTATGTGCTGTTATCCAATGTTCGGCCGGTGAAGCTATGCTGGGGCATCTTGGCTCATGTGCCGACAGAGAGGGCTCTGCATGCCCACTGTGCACGCGTGCCATAGTTTCACCAGCACTTCCTAGATTGTAAAATAAAAGAGGAAGTCATGAGTNAAAAAAAAAAAGATCCTAAGCCTTATCTGTACTGCAGTTGATGTAAATTATTTGGCTCCTGAGCATTTTATCTGATTGGTTAAATTAGGGTGGTGGTTTAATTAAGTGAAAAATAACCCTTTAAGTATATTACAAGTGTATCCTTTTTTTCAAGTAGCTAAGCATGTTGAAATTCACCAAGAAAAACTTTGTATAAGTGCCAACTTAAACGTAAGCAGGTTTTTCTTTCATTCCCTCCACCCTAAAAGTAGTCACTAGGTTCTAGTAGCAGGTTACTGGCCTTATGTTGGAAAAAATGAACTAATCTTATTTTACTGTACAGGATATGAGTAATAAAAATAATAATTTTTGGAAATTCTTGGCAAGTTCCAGCCTTACATTGTGGGACTCTGTATAAACCTGTGGAGGCAGCTGGTCACTGCTATGTGCTTTCAATCACTAAGAGGTGTTGATTTTAAAGGAATGAGTTGCTGTTTCTAAAGGTGCACATTGCTAGTATTTCATAGCTGCCTCTGGACTTGCAGGCATGGTTACATTAGACCTTCTACTTAGAGGGCCAAATCATGTTTTCATTCAGGAGCAGTTATTAGAATTACCTTAACGTATGTCAGATTTTTGTAAACACTTTAAGTGAAGCTGCATCAAGGTAAGCAAACTAGGAAAAACAAGAAACAGGATTATTTTTTTAACTCCATGCTACTGTATAGGAAACACGGTTTGTTCCTCTTTCCTTAGATTTATACTGGAATTGTTCCAACTTCAGTTTAATGAGTGGCAGATTCTCCTAGCTATACTATGGTTTATTTCACCCTAGAGATTAATAATTGAATTGATAGTTTTTTAATCTGTTCTGCTAAATGGACATATGTAAAATACCTTTTTAAGGGTTAAGTTGAGAAGGTACTATTTTGAGTACTGTGGATGGAAATATCTTTAAAAATTGGTAATAATCTCATGCTAGTGCAAATGAGTAGCAAAATTGTAAAATAGAAAAAGATGGGAGATCTTTAGATGACAAAGATTATTCTGTTTAATTCTAAATATTGGAAAGTTTTAAAATGATGATGTATTAATGCTTAAATTTTAAAATGATTATAATATAAATATCATAACAGTGTTTCATCTTCAAGCAGTTTCAGTTAAAAGTTCTTTTAACAAACATTTGCTGCACGTATGGTACAATCAAAAACATGGAACTTTTAGAGCATGTGTGTGTCTGTGTGTTGCTTTTAAATATACAATATTTTATTTTAAGTTCTCCATTCACTGAAAATCAGACTTTTTGTACCAAAGGAATATTAAAAACTGCACTGTTTTATAATTTATATATTTAAAAAATATTTAATACAGTGTTACTATCCATTGGGGAGCTTTTATGTGAAAGCTGTAAGTTTAAAAAACACTAGTTCAGTACAGTAGCACTTCATTTCAAACCAGACGCTTGTTTTAAATTGAAGTCATTCAAAGATTTTGTATTACTGATAGTTATTATTGGTACTGATAATCAAATCCATGTAAAAATAATCTTATGAGAGATGTAAACTAAGGGCTGAATTCAGTAAGTTACTTATGATCCTAATAATTTCTTTCTGTAATTGGGTCACACAAATTCTGTTACAGAGGGGGAGCCATCGCCTAGGCAAAGGAATCTAATACTAGGGGAAGTCCAGATATTAGCAGAAATGCTTGTTTCTCAAAGGAGGTAGATTGGTGGAGCTCCTTATGTGAGCTCTACCAATCTGCCTCCAAGGTACAAGTATTTCCTTTTGTTTTAGTTTGTCCTGTAAGAACTAAATTGCTTTTGTGCAAGCAGTGAGCCTACTTGTGCAATGAAGCTGGTGAGTTGTAAGAAAATTGGTAGTAAACACCCAGTCAGTTTCTGCCCTCAGAGTGTTATTTGTCTAATAATTCTGTATTACATTTGTGTATTAGCCATTTTATTCCTTTACTTACCTATTTTATTCAGATATATGTTGATAAAACTTTGCCCTAGTCACTTATTTAGTAACTTGTAATATAAAGAGAGGACTGCAGGTGGCTGTTGAGAATGGCTCAACGTATAAACAACCCACACACTCACGGGCAATAAAACTAAAGTCTTTTATTGCTACTTGTCTATGAGATTTACAACACTACAGCTGAGCTCTACTATTAAGGTCTTTACAAGTCAGATGGTAACTCTTTAGTGACGTCTCTTCCTGAGCCCACGTGGGACTAGCGATCTTGGTCCTGCCTTTCCTCTCTGAGGCGGGACAAAGCCTGTTTTTGTTCCCATCATCTCAGAATTCATCTATTGGTCGCGAGAGAAAAGTCTATCCCGCCCCATGTCTCCTGTGTCATGCTCAGGAAGTTCAGCGTCAGGAGGAGGTGGGTCAGTCTGCTCAGGCTCTCCATGAGCAGAACTCATAGTGCCTTTTCCCTCGGAGCTCTCTTGCTTTGATGTAGACTCGGGTGTTTGCTCAATGGGTAAAGGGTCAGGATGAGGTATGGCTATCTGCTTAGCCATTCCCAAGTTAGGTTGTGGGGTTGACATTTGGGTACAGGGTCTCAAGCACAAGACCTCCTCGTGAGGTGCTGCTTCTGTTGGGGCACGACACTAGCGCAGTGGTTTAAACCGCTGTGCTGCTGGGCTGGTTGATTGAAAGGTCGCCGGTTCGAATCTGCACAACAGAGTTCCCATTGCTCTGTCCCAGCTCCTGCCAACCTTGCAGTTTGAAAGCATGCAAATACAAGCAGATAAAAAGGTACCACTTCAGTGGGCAGGTAACAGCGTTTCGTGCACTTCGGTGTTTAGTCATGCTGGCCACATGACCACGGAGACTGTCTGCAGACAAATGCTGGCTCCCTTGGCTAGGAAACGGAGATGAGCACCGCCCCCTAGAGTCAGGCATGACTGGACTTAACGTCAAGGGGAAACCTTTACCTTTACCTTAATATAAAGAGGCAGAATTAAGTTCAGTGAGAAGTGAATACTAAAGATGATAAAACTGGAAATAATTGGAAGTAATATTGACATTTTATGCTAGTTGGTCATGACAGTACTTTCTGTGGATACTTGGGCAACTTTCTGTGAATGCATAATCTGTGGTTAGTTTATGATAGACATCCACCCTTAAAGGCAACCTGAAAATACTTGTAAAGAAATAAAATAACAAGTTTAAAAAACTTTAATTCAGAATTTGTGGAAAACCTATCAACATAACCATCATTTAAGCCCATGCTCCAACAACAGATGCTGAAACTGAAAAGTTTTATACAGGTGTTAAAGAGGAAATTATTTATGCACCAAAACAAGACATGGTGTTGATCCAAGGTGTCCAGACACAAAAGTAGGAAACAAAGGATAATCAAGTGTTGCACGAAAATTTGGCCTAGGAATAACAAATGAAGCAGGAGAACAATGCATAGAACTATGTGAAGCCAACAATCTGTTATTGTAAATGCATACTATAAATAACCAATCAGACTATGTAACTGGAAGCAGAAGCTGGAGAAGCTATATTCTTGCCTGGCCAAAACAAGACTTAGAAGTAGATTGTAGCAGTGACCATCAACTCTTAATGTCAAAAATCAGAGTCAAGCTAAAAAAGATAACCTGCAGAGACATAGAGCCAAACCATAACTTCAGAAAGATCCCTGAAGAATTGAAAGTTCACACAAGGAACAGATTTGCAATGCTGAACTTAATTGACTGTGAGCCAGAGCTTTAGCCCGAAACTAGAGACAATAATTGGAAAGAATGCCACAAGAAAATCCCTGTAGCAACAACAACAAACAAAAAAGCCTATATAGAAGAGAGAAGAAACACTTATAGTTGCTAAGTTCAGGCAAAAAGCAAAGGTGACAAAAATAGGGTCAGAATCCTGAATGCAAGCTTTCTGCAGCTATCACACAGACAGAAATAAGTATCAAAATGATCTGAGCAAAGAAATATAGAAGAAAACAAGAAAAGAGGAAAATGAGAGATCTTTTCCATAGGATTCAAGAAATCATATGGGAATTCAAACCTAGATTAGGAATGATAGAAGACAAATGGGCACACTAGTGAGAATATAAAGAGAAAGTGGAAAGAATATACAGAGGGGGACTATACAGAAGAGATGAAAAGTTAACAGCATTCTTCAAAGAGGAACTCTATGAGGAGGGGCCTGCAATATTGCAAAGCAAAATGAAAGATGCTCTGAAAGCAATTAGAAGGAATAAAGTAGTTGGTGTATATAGATACTAATAGAACTGTTCCAAGCTGCAAAAATGAATAGTCCAAATCCTAACAAAAATATGTGAACAAATATGGGGAACAAAACAATGACCCACAGACTGGAAACATTTGATGTGCATTCCAGTCCCCAAGAAAGAAGAGGCAAAAGAGTGCAGTGACAACAGGACCGTCACACGTCGGCAAAGTGATGCTCGAAGCATTGTAACAAAGGAAACTGCCCTATATGGAGCGAGAAATGCTTGACATCCAAGCTGGATTCCAAAAAGGAAGAGACACTCAAGGTCATATTGCAAATATATGTTGTCTCCTGGAGCACACCAAAGAATTTCAGATGATCAGTCTGTGCTTTATAGAATACAGCAAAGTCTTTGTGTAGATCACACAAAGCTATGGATGGTCCTGAAAGAGATGAGTGTGCTTCAGCACTGGTTGTCCTGATGCATAACCTGTATCACAGAGAAGAAGCAGAATATGGACAGGATACAGAGAAACAGAATGGTTTCCCAAAAGCAAAGGTGTCAGACAGTGATGCATTTTATACCACTATCTGTTCAATCTGAATGCAGAACATATCATAAGGAAAATGGGATTAGAATCAGAGTAGGGAATTAAAATTGGCAGAAGAAATCTCACTAATCTAAGAAATGCATATGATACCATACCCCTAGCAGAAAGCAGCATTAATTGAAACGACTTCTGAGGAAAGTGAAAGAAAGTGCAAAAACAGGTCTGCAGCTGAATATTAAGAAACTAAACTGAGAGACTTTAGCATACAATTACCCAGACTCCGTTTTATAATGCACTTCTGGGAAGGAAATGTTCACCCAGGCTGCTGTTTTTTTCGCAGCAGCACTATGATTATAATGGCTACTTACATCCTGAGGTGTTGGCTTATTCCAGGAGTGCTGAACTTATTTCAGTCTAATAGTGAAATCCAGTTTTAGAGAAACACTCCAGTAGTGGGAGGTGCTGATTGCATTGGGTCAGGGTAAAAAATACCAGCATATCTTAGCCAAACGTTGTTACTATTAGTAACTTAGCCTTACAAGAGCTGTTTCAACCTTTTAGAATTCCAACCCCTACCCCAACACACAAACCCCTAAAAGAAACAAACAAAAAAAACCTGAGCAGAAGCAAGGAAACCACCAAACTATTACCATTTTGGGCAAAGGGAGTAGAATCGGCAAGGGATTTGGATTTCGCATATGGGCCTGAGGTTCCACATTACATATATACCTGCTCTCTCCCTAAGATCTGGGTCGGAGGTGCTTTTTCAGGAGCCCTCTTTGAAGGAGATCAGGAGAGTGGCTACCTGAACACGGGCCTTTTCTGCAGTGGTGCCCCATCTTTGGAACTTGCTTCCCAGAGGTGTGCCTAACACCAACACTTAATTCATTTTGGCACCAGGCCAAAACCTTTTTATCTTCCAAACATTTTAAGATCTGACATTATTTTAAAAATGGGTTATTTGTTATTTGTTGCGGATGCTGTGCTTTAATCTCATAGCACCATCCTGAGACTCTGGTGAAGGATGGAATAGAAATGCTTTTAATGAATGAATGAATATTATTAATGTGTTTAACTTGTAGAATGATCAGAAAATACCTGAATTGTTACAGTAGTATTATGTCCTCCCATTTGTCTGCATTAGAAGATGAGATGAGGCAGCTCATACTTCTGGCAGTGTTTTGATATTAAACAAGTGACGTAATGAAACATGAAATTGGAGGTTGGATACCTATCAGCAATTTGGCTACATACCAGTAATTGGTTTTAGTTATTTATCTTGGAACATATTAAAAAAACACTCATAAATGAAGATATCAAGAAATTAGCAGTGGATGTGAAATCATATTATTAGTTTACATTTACATTTGTAATATGTAATATTCAGAGAACACAGATTATCTAGGTTCACTTAGATCTAGTGAGCTACTTCAGTCTTTGCTGTCCTATGGATACAATGTTAGGCATTTCTACTAATGATATATACTGATGTAATCATTTTTACTTTTTTCTTTTATTCCCTAGGTCCAAGCGGTCTAATATTTCAATAAAAGAATGCATATTTGAACTTCCGAGTCTGACAGTTCAGGCAACAAGAGCCCAGACTTTTCTAATGCAAGCTATTTGGCAAAGTTGGGCTTATATTGGAAATGCCAGTTTACCAGTTATGAATGAAGCTTTAGTGAATGAGGTCTTCCAAACATCAGGTAAAGACCACATTTTTTCTGGCTCATGCATTTGACCGATACATCTGCGCTACTTAAGTCTTTTCTAACAGATTTGCCAGTGTGAATGGAATGTTGAACTGATGGACCTTTGGTGGTTTGTTCCCACATGACTTTTCTAATGTCCTTATGCTCTTAAAGGTTAAAACCAAAACATGCTTTGAATTGGGCCTCGAAGCATGTAGGCAGTCATCCAACCTATCTGCTTCTCCAATTCAGCACCCTTGGCTTCAAGAGAACAAATCTGTTTCCCGAGAGCCAGGAGCATATTTTACTGAACAAGCAAACGCAACTTTTGTCCAGTTTGGCAGATGGTCTTACATGTGGCATTCAATGCTTAGCATTGAATAGATTTAATTGGCACTGTTACCATTTGATATACAAGGTAGTCAGCACTGTGAAGGCGTAAAATACTTTTATTCTGGCACAAGTTAAGCAAACAAAGAAATGAACAAACAAAAAAACTGACCCTTGTTGGTTACCTAAGTGTTCCCCCCTGGGTCAATACTTAATAGAAGCACCTTTGGCAATAATTACACTTGTGAGTCCTTTTGGAGAAGTCTTTATCAGATGTGCACAGCTGGATCCTGCAGTTTGTGTCTGTTCTTCCAGAGAAAATTGTTCCAGTATTGTCAGGTTGGATGGGGACTGTTCTTGAACAGCAGCTTTCAGATGTTGCCACAGATTCTCAGTTGGACTGAGGGCCTTGACTGGGCCACTCTAAGACATTCAGATTCTTGTGTCTAAACCACTTCAATGATCAGTGTTTTTGCTTCATTGTGCTGCTGGATGGTGAACTTCTACCTGGTTCCACATCCTTTGCAGACTGAAACAGATTTTGCCTCTAAAATAGTCCTGTACTTGGCTCCATCCATTTTCCGTACTGCCTGGTTTTCCGGTTCCTGCTAAGGAAAAGCATCCTTATATTATGGCGCTCTCATCACCATTCTCTCCTGTGGTGGGTGATGATCTCAGGGCAGTGAGCACTTTGCACCACGCACAGCATTTTGCAGAAAGGCCAAAAGATTTAATTTTGGAATCATTAGACCAGATAACATATAGCACATGTTTGCTGTGCCTCCCACTTGCTTTTCTGCAAACTTCAAAGTGTGCTTGAATATGGGTTTGTTTCACCACTCTTCCATAAATTCCTGGTTCGTGGAGCATACAGGTTATTGTTGTCCCATGGACAGTTTTTCCCAGTTTCTTCTGAGTCCTCTTCATTTTTTTCTTTCACTAATGCCCTTCCTACCACTCACTGAGTTTTGGTGGTTTGCTTTCTCTAGGCAGAATTGCAGCTGAGCTGTATTCTTTGCATTTTAAAATACTGGTTTTAGTGGTGCTCCAGGGATGTTGATAGTTTAAGATTTAAAATAACTCAATCTTGAGTGATGTTTCTGCACAACTTTATTGCAAAGTTATTTTGATAGTTCCTTGGTCTTCATGCTCTCCAGCAAACATTGGGGCCTTCCAAAAATAGGTGTTTTTAATCTGAAATATTGTGGCACTGGAGTTACACACAGGTGGACTCTTCCCCCAGTATGTGGAGACTTCTGGAGGCAGTAGGTTGCACCAGAGCTCATTTAAGCATGCCAGAGCAAAGGGGTTGAAGACGTATGCAACCAGCAAGTGCCAGTTTGTTTTGCTTACTTAACTTTTGTGCACAATAAGACTGTTTTGTACCTTCACAATGTTGAGTACACATCAAGTGGTAACAGTGTCAATTACATCCATGTAATGACACAACAAAAATATGGAAAGTCAAGAGTGTGTGTGTGCGGGGGAGGGGAGTGAATAATTCTGCAGACCATTGCATGCTTTAGTAAACAGCTATGTGCTCAATATAGGTTTCAGAAGAAACAAAAAAAACCTTTGTTTGCTTAATTAAATATATTATCTAAGGAAAGTTAGTGTACTATAATGAAACCACAATCTGGTTCCAATTTCACTTCAGCCCTGAACTCATTTAGTTGGTTTGCTGCATGCTATTATCTTTTTATCTTACCTTTAACAATTATAATGCTGATATAATTTTTAAAAAATATTTCTATATCTTGAATAGGAGTTTCCCAAACACATTACTGTACTCATTAAATTGCAACAAAAATGTTTACCGATGAGAGATTGCAACAAACAATTCTATGATACACTTGTTTTCAAATTGCTGTTTACCATACTCCTACTTTCCTCTTTAGCTTTATTCTTCAAGAATGTTAGGGATACACCAAGAAAAGTGGTTTTTAGTATATTCAGAATATTTGGCTGTAGCACATTGATACTCCAGGAAAACATAGATGCTTTTGCACATGCCTTTGCCTTTCCCTAGAAACTGGAGCTTACTGTTGCATTTTCCTTGTCCATTTCAGGTAGTTCCTAATTTTGTTGACCATCCATTTCCATTAATCTGGTATTTTTAAGAAAATTGCTTGCAGACTTTACATTTCTCTGTTAAAGGTGATCAAATAGGCATTTGAATCCCTCATGTAAATGATGTATTAAGGTTAAAATAAAATCTACTTTCCAGAAAGTAACTGCAAAAGTATTTTATGCAAGACTTCATGTGGGATACCTTAATGGTTGAATAATAAATTTTACCTCATAAAAATGAAATTCAATAATACAGTAGCTTTCTCAGCGCAGTAGCATCTGGTTAAATCTCAGGAGAGCCAATATTTTCCAACTCATTAGGATCATGTCGTTCTGTATGTCGTCAACATTGACTTAGCCAAGCTACCTTTACTTACATAACCACCAAACTATTAAATAGGTCTCTTGTGGAGTGAAGTCAAATATTCCTCTTATTTTCCTATTGCCTTGGAAGAAGAGAAGAAAATGTACATGTTGTAACATTTAAACATCTGGTCAAAACCACATCAGGGTAATGCTGAGGAAAGTAACAGGATTCAGAATTCTTCCCAGGTGTGCATATAAAAAGGGGTTTGGAGTTGCTGCATAGTTCTTTAACCACTTAGGAAAAAGATTGAAATATAGTGATTTGCTGTTCTAATGCCCCTGTTTGAAATCTGTTCTTTTTCCCCCCTTCTCTTAAAAAAAAACATTTCTGAGTTCAGTTGTAATGCAGGTTGTTGAGCTTTAATCATTTCCTTCCAATGTACTGCTTTGGAATGTGCGTTCCATATAATGCAGCCAAGACTGGCACTTCTTCTGAGCATTGCAAGTCTGATTTTAAACAACATGCAATCTGTGTTCAAGACAGTATTTTTGTGAATAATGACTTGGTTGTGGTAGAATACAGATGTAAATACCTGCGGAGTATAGTTGTTCTGTTGTATTTTGTGGATCATCGTATTTAAGAGTTCTGATTTGCATCTAGGCTTCTGTGCTGAAAGCTGGTATACTGCTTTATATCTGCAGTGTCCCCATGGGTGTAGTGTGTCATTCCAGAAAAATTGTCATGTTTTGCCTGTCAGTTTGATAGAAGTTGCTATGGGATGATCCCTGTTACCATGGAAGCTTTTGGCATTTTCTAGGCACTCAGAAGCAGATTTTTTGCAGCTGACTAAGGCTGCAAGGCAACGTACAGAACAGTAAATAAGGATCTCCCAGAGTGGTTTAAATAAATTTCTAACTCAGATTCTCAGGCTCTTGGGTTCTAGGACTTCCAACACTGAATATTAATCCAAATTAGTGCTTTCTTTAGAATAGAAAATAACTCCACTGTTGATAATGTAGAAGAAGAATAGTAAGGCAGCTCAGTTCTGCTATTAGATGCAACTAGAATGTCATTGCACATAATTTATTGTTACTGTTTTAAAAAGTGGGGTTATTTCAAAGGTTTGTCTTCAGTCTTTGAGCAAGGGGAAGGCTGTGCATGCACACATACATGCAGATAGATAGAGGGAATCCAGCCTCTGTGTGGAACCAGATCATGCATCACAGCAAACTGGTTTTCTAAAACCAGTTTGTCACTGTGAACAAACCACTGTGCTAGTTCACATGACTCAATCACTTCTGCTTCCACAATCATCTAAACCTGTATCCTCAGGTTGTTTAGCATGATATCAAAACTCAGAATTCTGGCTTCTCTTTTCCACAAAATGCTGGAGTTGGAACCCATGGTTAAACCTGTTTTGTTAACCCTCTCATGCTGACCTTGAGAACCATTGAATCATATGAGCTAGCAAGGCAACGTGTTCACAGTAACCAAAGGATGCACATTTTCTGCACTATTTGTTTGCCTTTCTTACTGTCAAATAAAACAGCTCTAAATGTAATTAATTAGCTCCTGTTCTTGTATGCCTAGGTTTCTTGTTAGATATCTAGGATATTAACATCACATAAAAGTCAGGTGCAGGTATTCTAATTAACACCTTGAAAATCCCACAGATGGTTTAAGATGACTGTAACAAGAAAATGACAGCCAAGCACAACTTTTTTGCAAATCTGTGCAGGAAATATACACTGTAGACTTGAGCCAAGATAGATGCTGACAGCTGAGATAGCATCAAAGAATTGCTGTTCAAAATACTGGCAGAAGAAAAAGAGCTTCAAAGGCAAACTGACTCAGCTGTTCTCCCCAAGTCTTCTCACTCTTAATCCTCTAATTTCATTACCTATCACCTTTTCCCATGCAGAGTTGAATAGCTGTTTTGTGCTATCACTTAAGTTTTTAGAATTAAGCACTACACAGGTTGGATTGTGTGGTGTGTAAAGACGAAAGAGAATAATGGAAAAGGGTGATGGTAGGGAAGTCAGGATTCAGTATTTGTTAATATTATAATTGTGATTGTTATATTTATATCCTGCCTTTTTTCTTTTCAAGGAACATAATTCTCCTCCTCCTTGCAATCCTATCCTCACAGCAACACTTCTGTGAGATAGTTGGGCTGAGAGTTTATGACTGGTCCAAAGTCACTCAGTGAGCACCATGCAACCTGGATCTCCTGAGGCCCAGTCTTGAACTCTTAACTACTTCACCACAATGGCTCTCACCAAATCACATTGATTAGATTAGCTTGCTG